AAAATAATGAAGAACAAGTAAAGCTGAACTAAGACAATGAGACAAACATATCTTACAAGAGACTACAAATAAAGAAACCCAACCAGACAACAAAGCAGAGCTCCAACAACTTCACTGGTTTTGTGTGAGGGAAGGAAATGACGGTATCGACCTTAGTATCAACTTCCGGCTGCTCCTCACGCCACTGTGAGGAGGGGATACTCTTTTCCCATTGGGTGACGACACCTTTATGCCGCTGCTGACCGGAGACGAGCCTTCTTCTTGGAGAAAATCGGGCATTTCATCTTCTTTAATAGTTTCGAAGCGATTCTCGAATTTGGGGGGTGGCGGCACAAAGCTTTGCATGGGTTGGAAAACAGAGGAGGAAGAGCCTACGGAAGGAAAACTCGATCTCGGTGGCTTTTTCTTGGACGATAATGGGAGGTTGGTCGATGATTTCCTGCTAAATTAATAAAAATAAATGAATACAGGTATTTGTTTTGCAATGAGAATGGATTAAGTTAACATGACTAAAAAATAAAAATAATAATAATCAACTCCCTATTTTCCAAAATTATTTGTTTCGATTTTTAATAGACTCTACACCCTCAAGTTTGAGGTGTTTTCGGCGAGGAGGTACAAAAGCTATTAGGGCCAGTGACCTTCTTCATTAGTGATTAAGCCAAACGACAACAATAGGTTTTTTCTTTTTTAACAAACATTTTGTATTACCTTGCAGCTTGTAAAGGTGTTGCAGGGAGAGCAGTGGGGCCCACATTCATCTCGTGCTCATTTTCAATTGTGCACTTCTGGAAGCTTCTGTCAAGCATGCTCTTTTCGGCCATGTCCATTTCATCCTCGTCGGGTTCAACCTCTATGCCTATTGCACCAGAACCTGATTCAAAAGGGGAAAAGGAAGATGCTTGTGCATCATATACTTTATTAGCAGTCATTTGCTAAGTAATGTGTTTAAAAATAAATAAATCAAAGCACAAGCAGAAGCAGAATCAAGATTAGAAGTTATCATTAGAAAATATTGAAATAATTCTCTTTGTTCTTGAGCTAAACCATAGACACTTGTTTCTTATGCAGTTCTCAAACATTCAATTATATACAAATATATGATTAGTAAAACTCACCATCCTTTCTACCAAAAGCATTCTTACACCCTTCGCAACGGCAGTTAATTGAGCACCCAACACCACCCTTCATAATCGGCCAACAAAGAGTTTTACCATTAGACGACATATAGTAACTACATAAGCAATATATAGGAGAGAGAGAGAGAGAGAGAGAGAGAGAGAGAGAGAGAAACCTGATAGCATTCACAGTATTTCTTGAGGCAGCCTGATTTCTTGCAGTTGCAACCTCTTTTGTGCCGGGCTGAAGCCGGAGTCTTGCTGGGGTCATCCTGCAACTACAATTTTAAAAGAAAATAAACAAATGCATAAAATCATAGAGTGATAAAAATATATTTTCCCGCCAAAACCAGCTTCTAACCCCAGTTTCTGAGACGTAATCAGGCCCCCGGATCACTTTGGGAGCAAATGCAAGTGGATTTCTAGACTCAATTTGTTTGCGCGTGGCTAAAACAGTGTCTTCATGGATGGGTTTATTGAAGCAATCTATACACGCGCATGGCTCGACGCAGTACACGCCAGCAGCAAAACATTCACAGTAACTGCAAATCAAAAGTTAATGTGAGGCCTGTATATTTTGGCACTACTACCATGAAGTTATTATATGCATTGGCTCAGGTACTCATGATTTTACTGCTAAAAGGGCATGAACAGCCAAAATTACTAACCAGAATGGAGAAGGGAACAAAAAATAAAGGTATACGGTATGATGTTATATAAAAGTACAAGATTTTAGCTTACAGTTTTAGACATTTTGATTTCTTGCAGTTGCATCGTTTACAGACTCCATCTTCCCCAGCTTGCTCCACTTTACGTCTGCACAATCCAAAACGAAGCCTTAAGTAAAAAGCAAAAACTAAAAAGAAAGCATATCTTATAATCAGATTTTCCAAGGCAGAGTCGAACCGCTTTTTCTTGGGGCTGCTACTCTGATTGTTCTCCTCATTAGCCACAAACCCAGACTGCTGGCTGTCATCATCCTCAACCACCACAGACACAGCACCAGCATTGTTCTCCACACCTTCAGCTTCTGTCTCTAAAGATGTAGGGTTAGGCGGCACAGCAACGGCATCTGGTGGATGGAAATCGACAGACGAGCAGGGGCCGATCAACAGTCTTCGGGAGGTCAGAGTATCCTTGGGAGCCGATGCAAGGGCATTCAGGTGCAGGCCAATGCCGGGCAACATGCGGCGAGTCGGCTCATTTCCCGAGATGCTGTCTGAAGATGGATCATGACCCGAGTTCTCATCCAATTGTTTCCTGCGAGCCCCACCCATCTCGAACACCAGGCACCTTCTCCTCATGCCTCTGTACAAACCCGAAAGATGCTACAAACAAATAAATGGGGAAACAAAGTTCATTCATAAGTATTGGCAGAATTTTGAATAGGCCAACATGTTTCTTCTATTTAAAAGAAAAAAATAAACACATATTTTTACCTCATGATCCATCTTTTCATCACCCACACTAAAATGATGGGCCCCATCACCATCCGTAATCTCACTCCCATCCCCGGGCTGAGTGAAAATGTTTTCCCTTTGGCTCCCCTCCACAGCTGGGGACTCAAATATCAACAGATCTGATGAATTGATCAAATCCTCCCAATCACACGACGCGCCTTCTTTACTTGGATCCACGCTGAGTCCCGCACCCTCTACGTTCACCCGAGACAGCTCAGGCACAAAAGGAACAAGTTTCAAGTTTTTGTCTTTCATGCTCGGTTCAGGGCTATTGCAGTCGTAATCTTCAGGAAAATCAACCACAAACTTCATGCAATCATGGGATTTGCTCGGGTCAACATTTTCCTTCTGTTCATCCAATTGCTTAACATTAGTATCCGTATCTATGATTTTCTGCTCGAGCTTGTTGTGGTCATCGGATGAGAACTCGGGTTTTGATGCATCTGAAAGCTGGTGCCTGAAAATGAGTGGAAAGCCGGTTAAAACGAGAAGGGTCATTTATCAATTGGTAATATTCCCATTTTTTACTCTTCTTCTTCTTCTTCTGTTTTTCCTTACTTTCTTACCTTCTAAGAAATCTAGATTCCTTGAGAACGTGGGGCGAGCTGAAAACAGATGGGAGGGAGGCAAAGCTAAGCGGGTTGATGGTCTGAGTGATGTGTATGGACTTGACGGGCCTAATGGGCGAAAGGCTGTTGAGAAAGTTGAAGACGGGGGATTCCTGCAACAGAAGGCTAAAATATTAAAATCATGTAGTGAGAATAATATGTTACAAGTCGAAATCTAGTCAAAAAATGAATGAACTCCTAGACTTCCTACAAGTCGACCACACAAGTAGCAATCACAATGTTGCTTTCTGTGTAACTAATGAAGATTAACTACAGAGTGCCATTTAGTTTGTCATGTGAGCTACACTTTTTGTTATCTTCCTAGAAAGAACATGCAAAATGATATGATGTTCAAACTAATATAGAAACTAGACAGCTGAATAGCCACAAATCTATGAAATCTGAAAATTTACTCAAAACCAGAAACCCTTCCACCAATTCTTTCTTATCAGCGGCCATGCACTGTAACCACAAAGGAGTTTGATGCACCAAAAGGAGACAGAAACACCCAACACATGCACTTTTTTTTTCCCAATCAAATTGCTACACCCAATAATTAAAGAAAATGAACACTTCATTGGTAACAAATTGAATAACTTTCCAGTCAAAAAATGCCAAATTCAGGAAACTGAACAAGATGGTACTGGAAAACAAATCTAATTTGCCAGATCAAGGGGCAAAATCCAAGCTTCATTCCGTCGAAAAACGCCGAAATAACGATGAAAAAGAACACCATTTTTCACAGAATCAAGACCCAAAAGACAAATCCATGATCCAGAAAAGAACCAAAGTCACTGAAAACCCACTTGAAAACCCCCAAATTTAGCACTAATCAACCCAAAACCAGAGAGATTAACAGCCCCCACCAAACAGAAATTTACCCCATTACATAAACTGAAGATGAAGACAACAAAAAGACTCGAACTTTATCCAAAATCAATGAAACAGAACCTCAAATCTGCTGATAGAAGCTGCGATCTGGCAGTTCTTGCTCCTCTCTGGAGTGTCCATCACTTCTCCTTCTTCTCTGTTACTCTCTTTTTTTCCAGAGCTCTCAACTCTATCTCCCATTTTTCTCCTCTCTTTTATTCTGTTGTCTGTATGGATGTGTGCATATCTATCTCTCCCTATGGCCTTGTGTGTGTGTGTGTGTGTGGGCTTCTTCACTACAAAAATGGGGTCAAATACGAGTAATGAAAATTCAAGAAGGAGCGGGAAATGGAGTGAGGAATAGTTGAGTGAGTGTGGTTGAAGTAATGATTTATTAAAAGTAAAAAAGAAACAGAGAGACCCCCAAAAAAAAAAAGACTGGATTTTTTTTTTTTTTTTTT